AGATTAGTTTTATCTTTGGACAATGGTGATTAAATTGGAAACATAAAATAGAGTCACAAAACGACTTCACCCAAGCATCCTAAGGTTGTTCTGCATTGGACTGAAAGCCTTAGTAAAATAACAGGCTTTAACCTACTTCCTCATATCTGTACATCTCGCTATGCCAATTCGCTGACCAGTTTATTTAAGAAATTAGTAGGACAATTTCATATGTGAAAGTCAAGTTTCTAAACTAATACATATCAAAATAAAAGCAATTTATTTCACCTAATTAATAGTTGACACATTTACTCATAGTGTGGTGATAGCTAGCTGTTGGTCAAAATTTGTGGACAGTAATTTACGTCAATGTTTACGTCCTCTATGTTGGTCGTGAGAAAAATGAAAACAAAGACTTTGCGTAGGCGGATACGGTTAACATATAGATGATCTGACATTCAAGAAACAGCCACAAAGAGATGCCAGGTTAACTTTCTGTGAGAAACAACCAATCAGAAGACAGTTTTTCTGCTAACAATAATCTATAATAATGTACATGAAAATCTATGTGTTTATTTTGCATAATAAAGGATCTGTTTCCTGGCTGTCTTCTGTTGTTACAATACAATTGACCTCTTGAAACTCAACAACGGTGTTTACTGTCTGTAATGTAATGAACAACATTTTATAGCAAAATGAAAACTGGACACAATCATCCCAATGCTGCATTCATACACAATATATCTGGGAGTTAAAGGAAAGTGTTACAGCCCATGCTACACTGGATAATAATCAGCACATTAATCTCAAATTTATGGTGGAAAAACAAAGAGGACAGAAGTTACTGGGCCACGTATTACATTCGTTCACTAGTCAACTGCGAGAAATAATGACTAAATTTGTAGTGTAATTAGACTCTTGCTGCGGGGAGAAACTTTAGACATTAGGTAATTCAAAATAAAAATGTCCTTATAAATGTGAGCGATTTGTCACACTACCATGAATCTTAGTTCTTGTTTCTTTACCATAAAACACCATTTGCACGAACTGAGTGTCCCTGATGAAAATATTCTAATCTTGAAGTAATTTGGTGGATGCTTTCTACCAGTGGAATCCAGAATATGCACTTCAACTTATTTGAGACTCGTCAACTGGATGTTACTGCATTTCCCCAGAGAGTCGTGGTGTTCCCACTGAGGCTCGATCCCAGTACCCATTATCCACTAAACCACTTGGGCCACCACCTCTTGTGCAATGGATATCAGTTATTATTTAATTCAATTTGGACTTTCCCGTCAAGTGATTGGACAGAGGCCAAGCACTTCTGTCCAATCACTCAACGGAAGAGTTCAAACTGAATTAAATAATAGAATCTAATTGGTGGATGGTGACTAGCAGTGGAATCCAGGATGTGCATTTCGTCCTATTTGGGACTCGTCAGCTGGATGTACCTGTATTTCCCAGTGAGTGATGATGTTTCCAATGAGGCTCAAACCCAGTGCCCATGGTTTCAAACGCCAAAAGGTTATCCACTAGACCACTTGGGCCACGAGAGCCACCTTTTGTGAGACGGGTCATCTGCACAAGAAGCCGACATGTCAAACTGAGACGAGCACTTCGGTCCAATCAATCGACGGGAGAATCTAAATTCAATTAAAATTGAATTAAATAATATTCTAATCTTGTTTTATTACATCCATCAAAAGATAAGAAGCAAGTAAATAAGTTTCTTAGAAAATCACCCGTATCTAATTGGATTTCATAGGCTATACAGTGGACACTTATTAAATAATTGAAGCAGTTCAAACTGTACGTAATTATACAGTCATATTTCAGCAGAAAGTCGGATATTACGTCAGTCGTCAAGTAATCATTGTAAATTTTTTTCTAATAAATCAGAAACGATAATTTAGCCTCAAACATCCTATTGAATAAATGAAACGTTTGAGTTACACGTAAATATCCAAAACTCAGCACTGTATTTCATATAGGAACAATGAATAGAACTTACAAAACTCAAGTTGTGTGCTATTTAGACTAGATGGCGTCAAAATCACTGTCATTGTGCGTTATTACGAAAACAGCACAGCTGTGTCAAGGAAACGATATCCCCCCGCAGTAATAAAGAACACGTGAATGTATAGATTGAGAAAGCAAGGGATTCGAATAAATCATGTGCAAAAGAGAGAAGAACATTAAAAGTAACGATGTGGTTGACGATGACTTATATGCAGTTTCTTGGGACTAAGCCCATAACGTCTGCACCACACATTTTAACAATTTCATAATTTTGACGCCAGCACTTCCACCTTGTAGACCAGGTGTGTATAAACAGTGTCTACAAAGTAATACTCTTATTCCTAGTTAATTGGCTTGATACGTTTTTTTCTGGGAATCAATTGATTTCTTAATATGTAGATGAGAGACATCACTAGAAAAATGTGAGGAACATGCCTATGAAAGGAATTAGGTAGATAATTTACGGTTCACTTTTTTGAGAACAATACTTATACACGTGACAGATATTTCATTTCCTGTTAGTCATTTAAAATAACAGCTAATAATTACATTGATCAATAGGAATCGTAAAATATTTCAATTGGTAAACTGACAGTTACTTTGTTGACTGTCACTACATTAAAAGCTCATCAAATATTGTTAAAGTGTTTCAAAACTCTTAATATATGTGTAAAACTTGGGCACTATGGCAGTAAGTAATTCTATAATAGTTTGTTATTTTATTTCATTATAGTTTATTTGGACTTCCGATCATCCCACCCTATATCAGTGAAAATAGGATTGGTGAAATGCTGAAGTAATAGAACAGAGAAGCTAAGTAGTACCAAGGAATAGCCAAGACAGGAAGTGATACACATAAAAGAAGCCTTGAAACTTAATAATTACCAGATAAATTATTCAAGAAATATGTAAGGAAATGTAAAAATAAAATAAATAATGATAGTAGCGATAGTGATAATAATGATAACAATAATGATAATGATAATATTAATGACAACACCAACAATAAGGAACCTAAATCATCACTAGTAATTCCATACAAGGAAGGAAACTCGGAAATCTTACGCAGAATTCTTAACAAGGCAGGAATAAAAGTGGCTGTCATTTAAACCCACAAACTCAATTAGAAACAAGCTTTGTCGGTTAAAGGATCCTGTGGAGCCTTTAAAACAAAACAATTTAGTTTATCTAATACCCTGCTTGAATGACTTTCAGGTCAAAATAGCAGAACAGGGGCAGTCACACTAGCCAGGCATAAAAACCTAGCAAAATCTAGATTAGTTGACCCGAATAAGATAAGAAATCTAGAGAATAGTTCAGCTATAGCACTACATGCAGTTACACAACTACACAGTAGGATGGCATAAGATGACTTTTAAAATCTAACCTAACAGGGTCGGGGAAGAGATTGGCAATGGAAGCTTTGTTTATTGAATCAACTGCGAACACGTGTATTAGGAATGATTCAACACCTGTCCCAAATATCTGGAAAATTCTACTACCCCCTACGACAAATAGGAGATTAAGGAAAACCATAAAACTCAGGTTTCAAAGTTGTGTGATTATAAATGATATGATTATGAACAATAAATTTCGTTCGAAACGTCATCCAGTAAATAATACTGTTTCGCTGTATAATACATCTAATAAACAAACTAATATGGAATTGTTTCAAAACTCTGATCTTTCCCTCAACACTAATTACACGCGCTGTTGAGAAGTTTCAAATGCAGACAAGATGCCTGTTTAGTGTAACCTAGTTGCAAACCGCTTTCCCGGTGTTGATTAGTGATGTATAAAAAATGACTGACTGATCGGTTTCAACGTAAAACTCTACACAGAAGTGCAACAGTTCAAGTTGTCACACTCCACGGAGGACACGAAAGAGAAAAATAAGAGATTCAAAAGAAAAGTAATAAGCAAAAAAATGTGAGAGAAAAAGAATAGTAACGTGGAAAAACATGACTGTTTAAGGAATATGAGAGATCAAAAAGAGTGAATGCATCTGCACATTGAGGACGATTTCAAGCCATATCGTTAATTCTCTTCAGCTATTAGTTCTTATCATCCAGAAGGCCCCAGCCAGGAAGCCTCCACTCCCCAAGGTGATTGTGACTAACTGTGAAGGTTTTCATGGACTGATTCCAAATCTTGGTTTGACTACTACTAGCTCTTTCCCAACCTGATCTTCTGTCAGCTAGCATTGCTCGTCAAGATAGGCAGTGACTCGGCATACATAACACGTCTCCTGATCATTTCATTAGACTCACCTTCACAAACCAAATCGATGGACTTACACTCTCAACTCAACATTCAACACCTGACCTCAATATTACTCAACTTATTATACTATTTATAACACGGAAGATAGAACGTAGACACCTATGATCAAAGACAGCCTTCCATTTTCAGTGGCCATGTCTCACAGCTATAATGGAGGACGGAGAGAACTGCTGTGCAGTACACATGTCCTTAGATCGATAGCCAGTCAGAAATCATGTCTACGCAAGAGATGGCGTATACTGTTGTAGTGGTATTTGATATGTCAGATAGCTTTACCTGAATCAGGTTTATATTTCATATCCGAAAGATCCCTTCCAATATTCAGAAGTGCGTCAGTAGTTCAGCAGTAGAATGCTCGTCATCGTTCTAGACCCATTCGACGCACTCCTAAACCTCAGCTGATGTTAAGTCTGCTATAGAGGGAAAGTTGAGTCTAGCGACCCCACACGGTACAAAATAACACTACTGCTAATGAAAATTCAAAGCTTGAAGCTTTAAGTTCCACTCGGAACGAAAAAGAAATAAGCAGTAATAAATACAAATTTACAGGAGAAAATATATTTGATGAGAAATAAATTAACTATTTCATAATACTGAAAGCACGAAATATAAACACAAATCTTTTGGAGGTTATATTTCAGCATGGGAGAAGCAAATTTTACTGTACAAAAGACGAAAGAACTCGATGATCAAAACAAAATCATAGTGGAATGATTTGACTACAGAGACATGTTACGACCTTCAATGCTCATTGGGACAGCACGAGCAGCTTTAGCATGACTCCTGCGAGCACTGTTAGTTAAATTACGTATATGGCCTTCGATTCTTGAGGTAGCTCCAAAGCCAGAGGATCCTGGTTTCCGGCGTCTTCGATTAAGTGATTGAGATTCGTCTGTGCGATCATCATTTCCTTCGTCGTCATCATCGTCTCCATTAGGATTTTCCCTTACACGCCATTTAGGTCGAACAATATAGTCCTTGTTTGATGGCTGAGGGACCCGAGCTCTATTAATCCATCCAGGATCTCCAGGTCTTAAGACTCTAAAACCACAAAACAAGTAAAAGAGAAAGTCCATTTGATGGAAAAAGTTTTTGAAATGAAAGCGAACAATATATAATATTATATATAATAATATAAAATAATATATATATATTATATATATATTAACAAAATCAGGCGGGACAACGACGCTTAACATTTCACAGTTAAATAAAGGTCATATGACTTATCAGAAATCGCTTTGGGAGGAAATGAAAGCTCATAGGCGATCGTGGAGCCAGCTAAGAAAGACTGTAGAGAACAGAGAGAAGAGGACATGTGCTGCTGAAGCCCTATGTCCCACTCGGAAGCCAAAAGAATAATAGTGTGGTGATAGCTAGCTGCTAGCCAAATTGAGAGACAGTAATTTACGTCAAAATTTGCGTCCAAAATATTGGTCGTGAGAAAAGTGAGAACAAAGACTGGTTCAACAACCAACCACAGCAGACTTTGCATAGGCGGATACACTTAGCCACAAAGAGATGAAAGATTAACTTTCAGTGAGAAACAACCAATCAGAGGACTGTGTTTTTCTGCTAACAATAATCTATAATAATGTACATGAAAATATATAAGTACGTGTTGATTCCCTTAATAAACGATCTGTTGCCTGGTCGTTGTCTTCTGTTGTTACATTTGGTGTCGCTGCCTACCGGCAAATGGAGAGCCTATCCCCTACAGTTTTTGATGGAGACATATGGATCTTTGGGCAGGACTTCGAGGCTTCTGCACAGTTGAGTGGAGTTCAAGATCTGTCTGCGATGAGGCTGCTACTTAGGCCGCTGCTAGGAGGTGGGGAGAAAGCAGTATATGTAAGTGTGGGGCGAAATACCGACGAATGTGCGACAGGGTCAGGCAAACAGTTTCCAAAATGCGAAAGACCACAATATGGTCACGTTGAGATGTCCGGGTTACGCAGACACAATCGCAATAGTAAACAAAGTGAACATCAGCGAGCGCCGAGATACCAGATAACAAGAGAAACGAACAAAGCCCCTAGAACCGAGAAGACCGAACCAACTTCATTGACACCAAATGTAACAACAGAAGACAACGACCAGGCAACAGATCGTTTATTAAGGGAATCAACACGTACTTATATATTTTCATGTACATTATTATAGATTATTGTTAGCAGAAAAACACAGTCCTCTGATTGGTTGTTTCTCACTGAAAGTTAATCTTTCATCTCTTTGTGGCTAAGTGTATCCGCCTATGCAAAGTCTGCTGTGGTTGGTGTTCGAACCAGTCTTTGTTCTCACTTTTCTCATGACCAATATTGGGGACTACTTTACTTTACTTCGGCTATCTCCTACGGGAGGATGAGCCAGCTTCATGAACATCTCGAATCATCGCTGCCCAGGCGCGGCGATCTGATGCAAGGTTTTGCGACAGGGTTATCCAATTCTTGTTCCACAGACGCAGTCCGTAGACGGTTTGTAGCCCCAGGCACTCCATATCAGCCTTGACTGTACCAAGCCATGTTTTCAGCTGTCCACCCCTGCGACATCGCCAAGATGGAAATGGCGAGGGATTTAGAACTGATTTGACCAGATCGTCATCTGGTCGGGGCAGAACATGGCCAAACCACCGAAGGCGACGTTGTTGGACCAGTACTGGAATTTGGTTGATGTTGTAGCAGCGACGACGCACTTCTTCGTTGAAGAGTTTGTCCTGCCAACGAACATGCAGAATGTACCTGAGGCACCAATGGTCTACTACCTCGAGTCTGCGTAAATCTTCCGCGCGAAGAGGTCAGGTTTCACAGCCATACAGGAGAACGGGTCGTATGGAGGCTTGGTAGACCCGAATTTTAGTCCTGAGACTGATTTCTCTCTTGCTCCATAGAACGCTCCTCAGCTGTAGAAACGCATTCCGGGCGTTGGAGATTCGCGCATTCACTACGTTTTTCGCTTGACCGTTGGGGAGCATCATGGATCCCAGATACCTGAAGGATGGTACAATTTCAACAGGTGCTCCATTCAGGGATGGGATTTCCTCATTGCTGGTGGATGTGTTCGAAAACACTTTGGTTTTGGAAGTGTTAATTTCCAAACCGATAGTAGGCGCGAGGTGGTTTATCTGGTCGAGCGCCTGTTGCATATCGGGGAAGTTTTCAGCTAATACACGACGTCGTCGGCGAATTCGCGGTCGGTTATGTGAATATCGGGCGAAAGTTGGACGCCGTGGTGCTCGGTTAGGGCGTGCCGCAAAATCCAATCAACTGTGAAATTGAACAGGATGGGGGGTGCTGGACAACCTTGCCGGACACCGCTGGTTACCTCAAAAGTACGAGACTCTTCACCGTTCACTCGGACCATCTTCGCCCGGAGCTTTTTTGTTTCTGAGTCTGTTAATTGTTTTAGCTATTTCGGTTGGAGTGGGTGGATCGCAGTCAACTACGTAGGGTGTTGGTAAGTGTCGTATCGGTCGATGAGACGGTTGACCAGCGTTGCGATTGAGTAGCTGCTTGAAATGTTCGGCCCATCGTTCCATCTTACCATTGGTGTCCGAAATAATTTCTCCTGATGCTGTGCGTAACACAGCATGACTGTTAAGGCGTTTGCCAGATGATTGGCGTATGAGGCGATAAAGTTTTCCGAAATCGCCTACATTTGATGCTGCTTCCATGTTAGTCGCCACGTTAGACCAATAGCGATTTCTGTCATTCCTAGCAGACTGTGTAGCTTTGCGCCTGAGGGAGCGATAAACTGGAGACTTTGCTAGGCGAGCGTCTCTGGCTTGCGAGGATAGAAGCATGGTGTGCTCTGAAATCCAGTCTTTCTGCTTCTTGGATGTGGTACCCAAATGCGACATTGAAGCTTTAGAGACTACTTCTTTGAAATGATTCCATCGTGTCTCAGGTGTATTAGAAGATGTGGATGTTGGTTCATCTGCGGCGCTTAGTTCGGCCTGGATTTGTTTGGACAAGGCTTGTCGCTTTGTCGAACATTGAAGCGGGGCAACATTGATACGCTTCGGAGGTCGCGCCTTCTGGCGTGTCGTTAAACGAAGTTTGAATTTCGCCCTAACTAGAGTATGGTCTGATCCCCCTTTATTTCCGGCCTCTGCTCCACGATAGGATCGACAGTCTTCCACCGAGGAGATCCAGCGTGAGCGCACTAGGATGTAGTCGATCTGATGTGCAGTGCGACCGTCGTTCGAATACCAGGTGAGAAGATGTTTTCTAGGGTGTTGAAATCGAGTGTTGGTGATATATAATCGATTGTAATCAGAAAAAGCTAAAAGTCTATCACCATTACGGCAGCGCTGATCGAGACCGTGTTTGCCTAGTATATGTTTTGTCGCGTCGTCTGAAGGGCCAGTGCGGGCGTTCCAATCGCCGGCTACTATGAGAACGTCACGCTTTGGGATTTTGTTGATTGCCTCTTGAAGATTGTCATAAAATTCGTCTTTGATACTTTCATCAGAGTCGAGGGTTGGGGCATAGACAGCGAGAACAGAAATGTCGAGCGGGGAACCCTTGAACCTAGCGACTGCAACTCTGGAGTTGACCGGTTCGAATGATATTAGGGCATTATTGGCTTTGTTACTGAGAGCAAATGCTACCCCATGTTGTCCCGAATTATTCTGGGGTCCACTATGAAGCAACCAGAATGAAGAATCTGTTCCAGGTACGGCTATTCGGCGGGAGCCATGATCGGGTAACCTCACTTCAGATAGACACGCTATGTCCACCTTGTAGTCATATAAAGAACGCATGGTGATAGACTGGCTACCAGGATCCAACAGCGTCCTAACATTCCAGCAGCCAACAAATAGTTGGTTTCTAAGTGTTAATTTCCCAGCTAGCTTACTTTTCACACTGGCCACCGGGTGAGCACAGGGCGCGTCGCTTACCGGGAACGCCGTAGCATGGTGAGAGTTGTTTGTAAGAGAGTTCATGAAGTTTCTTGGGAATTTGGTACGAGTGATGTCCCCAGCATCGCTCGGCCTTTTGTTTGAGAGTGCAGCTCTAGCCTTTACACAGCCAAGTGTGACCTACAAGGCAGTAGGAGTGGAGTAAGGAGTCCACTATCCATTGGCAGCCGGTGACCGGTTCATACGCCTTTTTGAATGGGGCCAGACATCCAGGACATCCAACAAGCCCTTTGTCCATACGTCTGCCGGTGAGCTTCATACGCCAGTCGTTGGAGGTTTGGAATCAGGGTTTAGCCATCTCCCCTAGACTGTCATCCAATGGACAGTCAACCCGGTGAAGAGCGCCGGGCATCCGCTTTTGCCCTCTCACTTTAGTGAAAAACACCTCCGCCACGTGAAGGCAGTGAGTAGGACTTCCTCAGGAGAGGCTATGTAAGACGCCCGGTCATATGGGAGCATTTCAAGAGGTGTACGGAGGGGTGGCCAACCCGCAGCGCAAGGCACCCACCCCCGACCATCCTGAGGCTTTGGAGGACGTAAACATTGACGTAAATTATTGTCTAGCAATTTGGCTAGCAGCCAGCTCTCTCACCACAATAGCAGCAATCAAAATGAAACAAGAAAAGTGATGCTCCCCAATTAATGAATTATACACATACGTAAACAGAAGCCGATACCAACAATATGTCATATGAGAAAAAATACTAATAATTCTTTTTGTTTTAACAGTACAAATACCACATTAAGGTAAAAGGAATTTCAGAAGGCCACTTTCGGCGTGGATTACAGTTGAAATCAGATGCATGGTGGTGATCTACTGTCTGAAACACTTACTGAGTGAAACTAACGATTTTGTTTTTTGTTTGTATCGCCTCAAGGTTGCATTTGTTGTCAAGCTTTCCTATGACTACAATCCAAAGTATAAGCATAAGCCTGAGAGGTGTTTTGCTTAGGATATCGATTATTTTAAGATCATTTGATTAAAAATGAAACGAAGTAGCTAGTTTTACAATCAAAAAAGAGTAGGATAGTGAATTCTGAGGAGACGGGTGGGGGAATCCGTTTCAACAGTTGCATCCCGATGTCCCAACAGTAAGACGTGTTATGGAGACATCCAACATTTTTTGTCAGGAGTTAGTTTCTAGAATAAATACGATAACAGTATGATCAAATTCAGATGCAAAATCTCTCCTGGAGCAACTTTATAATAGGGACAATTCGCCAACTTAGAGTCGTTTAAATAACCAAGAGAAAAGGTGAAAAATGACTGCACTCAAAACCAGAAGGATTCAAAGTGATTTATGCAGAACAACTAATGAACTATAAAATAAAATGAAACACCGAACGATATACTAAAAAAAACAGCAAGAAGAGCTTGTCGAAATTTAGCCTTACCCTTTTCCCTCACCATCTAATTCACGATTTATATCACGATGATTGTAGTCTTCATTGCTGTAAACAGATAAACAGAAGATACTTTTAAACTATGTAAAACTATTATTATAATATAGAGTGAATTTATCGGCCTTACTGTGAGGCTTTATGCTGAACGGCTGAATACATCACGAACACAGGTTAAGAGAGAACTACATTTGTGGGGAGGGGAGGGACAGAACTGTAGCCTACTAATAATAAAAGGTTAAAAGGAGTGATCAACACTTCCAAATGCGTACTGCTGAAGAGTTCCAAACTAGGACGAAACAGCTGTCCAGTACTCCCAGGTTTTCCAGTGGTTCTCTAACTGATGTCAGCTCATGATGAAATCCTCCATGCAATAAAATGAATAATACTGTTTACTTGCAAATACTCAAAGTTTACCTGTGCTGATACTACTGGATCAGTGTGATTTATATCTTCTTGATATATAGATTTATATGAGTACTACTCAGGATGAGAACGGAAATTTCCGTTCTGTGACCTTTGACATTTGATAGTAGCTTATTTTAGACTATATAGTTTCTGAAAGCAATAATAGCTTCATTGCGAACAGTACACGTTTGATACAATGCGGAATTTTCAGCATATAGTACAATACCACATTTAATTTTCTCTTAACATTAAATAATAAGGGGGAGGTGGAATAATTAAGACGACATTTACATTCATAATAATGTCAATAGGAATAGAATGTATGATTAAAATCGAGCATAAATAATGACGTGAGTCGGTGGCACAGAGGTTAGGACGTTCACCGACCATGGACATGGTTCGGGGTTCAATCCCCGACCACTGGACGCATTCCTTTACCTCGCTAAGCCAGAAATAATGCTGGTAAAGAAGAAAGGTTGGGCATGGGGCTAGCAAACTCATCCTGTAAAATTAAACACTTCAAGCCCCTAGCTTGAGGCTGTATGTTCCACTGGGAATGTGAAGGAAAATAAATAAATAAATAATGACAACAATATATTAGTAATAGAAAGAATAAAAACAGTCGCCCACTTACTGTTTCGCATTAAGTTATTAGTTTCATACCTAACACATTTTTCATCACATAAAAATGCGTGACAAATAAGGTATTAATGAAAACAAAACACGTAGATCAGCGAAGAGTCTCTTTTCGGCGAATTCATTTTCTTAGCTGTACAATCGCAAATATATATGCATTGTTTTGTATGTATGTGTACATTAAGTTTGTCAAACAAAGTTACAATTGGTTAAGGTTACTTTTAACTAAACAAGTGAAAGTTGGTAATACAGGTCAAGAAAATTAAGTGCTAATGAAGCTAGGGTAGTAAAAAAATGATGAGTTGTCACAAACAGTTGTAATAATAATAGTGAGTTTTACTCAGGATGCACATAGAAACAAAGTAGATAATACGAAACTATGTAAGAGATCTAAGTGGATACAAGAATTATAATTGCTTAAGGTTATTTTAACTAAACAGGTAAAGGTTGGTAATCTAAGTCAAGACCATTAAGTGCTAGGGTAGTAACAAAGGTGATGAGTTGTCACAAACAGTTGTTAAAAGAAGTTATGCAATAATAATATGAATAGTTTGATGAGTGAGTTTTACTCAGGATGCACATAGAAACAAAGTAGATAATACGAACTATGTAAGAGATTTAAGTGAATACAAGAATTATAAGCAATTAAGGAACAGGCAAAGAGACAAAATTAAGTCATCAAAATAAAATAAAAGCTCAAAACAAATCAAAACATTGTTACCATGAGAGTAGAAGTGGTTGAGTAATCTTCTTTTGTATGCACAGCTCCGGTTTTTCCATGTGAATGGCCAGAGCTTCAGCGATGCAAAGGAGACGAAACCGTATTGCCTTTGATATGTTATTCTTGACTCTGTAGATTACTTTGAAGGAGGCGTTCGTTGAAATGCAATGATCAGTGTTGACCAGGTGTTCAATTATCGCACTCCTTATTGCACCAGTATTGGTGCAGTATTGCAGAGTTTCTAAACTTAGTCATCCAAAACATAAATTTTCCCACAGTTGCTTACGGTCCTACCTGATGAGATACAAGGGAGGAGTTGTCTATGGAGAGGATGCCCACAGTCTGACAAGATAACACTCATAATTTTTTGCAGGAGTTCAAGAGTCTCTCTACAACAGTATTATAAAGTTGGTAATCCACTCACCCTACCGAAAGCTGTTAGTGAACTTTGCAACATAAAAAGTCTTTCTTGAATAGTCCTCGAAAGATTAAGGGGGAGCAATTAAGAAAAATAGGTAGAAAACAAGAATTAACAAACGGTAAAATTAGAGACTGAGTGATACCAGATTGTTATAGCTTGCTTACGTAGAAAGTTAAACAAAATATCTTTCAAGAAATTAACATGATATGCAAAAACCAGAAAAGATCAGAGGAAAGACATAATCCAAAGTATTTAACATTCGGCTTAGTTTTAACTTCACTGTCACCTATAATACGAGAATCACAGGAGCAAACCAGTTCACGTAAATCACGTTTGTGTGTGGAAGGGAGATTAACAGTCTGACATTTGGAGTGATTCAGCCTAAGACTATTCGACAATGACAACTGACTAATTTCTGATAAATTGCTATTCATTTTGGAACACTCCGACTAAGAAGTAACCAGCATGGAAACATTCAGATTATCGGTATACTTAACAAAATTGGTTTCATCAGAATGAGGCGAGCCTCGGATGACTGACTGGTTTCAACACAGAACTTTGCACAGAAATGCAGCAGTCTGAGTTTACACACTCCACGAAGCACACGTAGGAATACAAAAGAGAAAGAAGAAGGACTACTGTAAGCGGAAATGTCAAGAGGATAGAAAATCGATGAAATATCTCATAGTAAACAAACGCTACGGAAAAACAAACCATTTAAGACCTAAGAACAAACTTTAAAATAAAGCGGTCGACCAATCCAACCGACGAAACTTGACACAACGTCTCTCTCACTTCAGTTGCTGGGATAGGTTTTTCTTGTTCCAGGTTTGAACCATACTTGTCTGTCTGTCTGTTTTCGACATAGAACTTTGCACAATGTGCGGAAGTTCAAGTCGCACATCCGTGTAGCACGCGAAGCAAGAGGAAAGTACAAGAAAAGCATAATAGAAACAGTGAGCAGAGGTGTGACAAAGGAGTAATAAAGAAAACAAAACAGTTTCATTGAAGATCATAAGTCACAGGGAGTGGATGCATCTGCGCCACTGAGAACGATTTTGAGCCATGTCACCAATTGTTTCCAACCATAGATTTTTACCGTCCCGAGGACCCAGCCTGGAAGTCTACACCTTTCTACGTGGCTTAGACCAACTGTTGTGGATTTCATTGACTGATGCCAAGTTTTTGTTTGACCGCCGCTAGCTCTTTTCCAGCCTGACCCTATATCAGCTAACATTGCTCGTCGAGGGAGGCGATGACTTGGCATACGTAACACATGTCCTAACCATCTCAGTCTTTGTAGCTTCACGACTTCGTCGATTGATTCCCCTGTTTACCTAGAACTCTACGCCTAACCTCCATGTTGCTCACCTTATTATGCCACTTTACACGGGAAATAGAACGCAGGCACCTATGATCAAAGACAGCTAGTCTTTTCATGTCTTCCACTCTCAGTGGCCAGGTCTCACAACCATAAAGGAGGACGGAGCGGACTGATGAGCAGTACACCCGCCCTTTGGTCGATAGTCGAACATCTCGTCTACGCCAGATCGGCGTAAACTGGCAAATGCGAAACGAGCCCCTTGTATTCGTGCTGAGATTTCGTCAGAGATCAGCCCGTTGGGGCTGATGGTAATGGCTGATGATGATGATGAGCCATACTTATTGTATGTGGGTCGATGATACCACCCAGTTGGCCGGGATGAAGCAAGAAGAGTGGAATACAGACTGAAGACTCACTGGCTGAAAATAGGGTGCTTAAGCCAATGTCTGTCTGTCTGGATTCAACATAGAACTTGGCACCGAAGTGCAGCAGTTCGAGTTGCCACGTTCCAAATAGCACACAAAGGTAGACAAGAAGATGAGTGAAGAGAATCAATAGAGTTTGACAAGTATAAGAGTGGAAGAGAATGGGTAGTGGTAGAAAGGAATATGAAAGATTACAGAGACTGAATACATCTGCGCCATTGACAACGATTTTGAGCCATGTCACCTATTGTCTCCAGCCATTGATTCTTAGAGTCCCGAGGGTCCCAACCCGGAAGTCTGCATCTCCCTACCTGACTCAGTTTAACTGTCAAGGATTTAATCGATTGATGCCATGTTTTTATTTGGTCACTACTTACTCTTTTCCAACCTGCACCTATATCAGCTAGTAATGCCCGTCGGGGAAGGCGATGGTTAGGCATGCGCAGCACGTGACCTAGCCATCTCAATCTATGTAACTTTATAGCCTCGTCGATTGATTTTCCCTCTTTGCCCAACACTCTACGCCTAACGTCAACATTACTTACTTTAGTATACCACCTAACGTGAGAAAGAGATCGTAGACATCTATGATCGAAAGCAGTCAACCTTTTCATGTCTTAAACTCGTATTGGCCATTTTTCAGAGCCATAGAGAAGGACGGAGCGAACTGATGAGCAGTACACACGTCTCTTGGTTGATAGCCGGATGTCACGCCTACGCCAGAGATGGCGTAAGTTAGCGAAAGCAGCTCGAGCTTTTTGGATCCGTGCTGAGACTTCGTCGCCAATCAGTCCGTTGGTGCTGATACAACTTCCCAAATAGGTGAAGTGGTCAACATGTTCTATCACTTCACTCCCTATCACTAAGCTAGGAGTTGACGTAGTCCAGTCCTGTAGCAGCATCTTACATTTTACAGGGGGAATCGCATGCCAAACATATGAAGATTGCTGCTCAAGGTGTTCAGAAGACTCTGCACTTTGTCAGCATCCTCCCCTAACAGGACCATGTCATCTGCATATTCTAAGTCCATAAGACTATTCCCCGGTAACAAGTCCATTCCTAAGTCGTTTAGTTCAGTTAAGGATACTTCCATCAGCATATCTATGATGAAGTTAAACAGAAATGGGGAAAGTGGACATCCCTGTCGGACACCACTGGTTGTTATCATTTCAGATGACAATTCCCCATAAGCCCTTACACGGCTACGTGAGTTTGAATACAGTGCTTGGATTAGTGCAATGTACTTTCTTGGCACTCCCTTCACAGTCAAACACTGCCATAGTACCTTTCGATCCACGGAGTCGAAGGCCGCCTTCAAGTCAAGAAATATGGCAATTGTTGGACGCCGAAAAGTGTGTCTATGTTCTAGAATCTGTTGGAGAGTGAAGATATGATCTATGCACCCTCTACCTCGTCTAAAGCTTGCTTGATTTTCCCTCGTTTGTTCCTCCCGAGTTCTGCTTAGTCTATGCATGATTACTGAGCCTAGGATTTTAGAAACTATGTTCGTTAGGCTGATCCCCCTATGATTAACACACGAGGACTTGTTTCCCTTCTTGAATATCGGTATAATAAGTGACTTACCCCAGTCTGATGGAACTTTCTCTGATTCCCAGACTTTGCCTAGTATCTCAGTTAATCTACAAACTAGTATGTTACCCCCATATTTAAACACCTCCGGAATAATTCCGTCGGGTCCTGCCGCTTTGCTTCGTTTCAAATTACAGATAGCTTTTGTGACCTCACTTACAGACGGCGGACCAGTGTCTATATCCCATTCGGGTGTGCTGGATGGTGGGGAGGTTCAGTGTGGCTGTAGGCAAGTTAAATTGTTCCTCAAAGTCTTCTTTCCAGCGTTCAAGGCGTCTATCCTGAGACCTAATTAAGGAGTCATTTTTCTCAGAAATAGTCTCACTTATGATTTGCCTTCTTCTACCCGTTTCCTTGCTGAATCTAAAGAGTTACCTAGTGTTGCCTTAAGCCAATGAGTCATGCCCCTTGGAAGTGACAATGAAGAAGTAACCGATACTACAAAAATAAGTGATCATACACTCAATATTCATTTGATCAGTAATGAAATAACTAGCGTTATACTGTATTACCCTTCTACAGAAAGGAAACATCCTAAAATACACTCGTGATAAACATCATCTAACTCACTATAAAGTAACCCAGATAATACAGTCCAGTTGTTGTTATACAATTTTATAATACACTAAACTTACTCGATATTTCTTCGCTTAGGCAAATGTTCATAATCCAACTGTTTACGTTCTTCTTTAGTTAGAGTACGATAGTCACTTTTTAAATTAAATATTGGCCTTAACCATTCATCTAGAAAAAAACAAGAAAATCAAGATCAACTATAGAAAAAATGAAACCAACTATTTGAGCACGAACAATGCAAAACAATTTGGCGAAGATATATACATGAAATGTTGAACTCTACCCTACCTCTTCAATGAATCATGTATCTGTCTGTTTTCAACATAGAACTTTGCACATATGTGCGGCAGTTCAAGTCGCTACACTCCATGTAGCACACAAGCAAGAGAAGAAAGTAAAAGAAAAGCATAATAGAGACAATAAACAAAGGTATGAGACAAAGGAAGAGTAATAACGAAGAACAAAACATTTTCATTGGAAATCATAAGTCACAAGGAGTGGATGCATCTGCGCCACTGAGAACGGTTTTGAGCCATGTCACCAATAGTTTCCAACCATTGGTTTTTACCGTCCCGGGACCCCAACCAGGAAGTCTACACCTTCCTACGTGGCTTAAACTAACTGTTTTGGATATCATTGACTGGTCAGGCCATGTTTTGGTTTGACCACCGCTAGCTCTTTTCCAGCCTGACCCTCTGTCAGCTTACGTTGCCCGTCGGTTGAGGAAGGTGATGGCTGGGCATGCATAACACATTTCCTAATCATCTCTGTCGATGTAGCTTCACAGCCTCGTCGATTGATTTCCCCTCTCATATACTTACCACTCGACGCCTAATCTCAATATTGCTCACCTTATTATGCCACTTCACATGGGAGATAGAACGCAGGCACCTATAATCAAAGACAACTAATCTTTTCATGTCTTCCACTCTCAATGACCAGGTCTCACAGCCATAAAGGAGGATGGAGAGGACTGATGAGCAGTACACACTCCCTTTGGTCGATAGTCGGATATCACGTCTGTGCCAGAGATGGTGCGAGTTAGCGAAAGCAGCTCGAGCTTTTTGGATCCGTGCTGAGATTTCGTCAGAGATCAGCCCATTGGGGCTGATGTTACTGTGCGTTGGTGGCACAGTGGTTAGGACTCTCTCCGACCATACACATGGTTCGATCCCTTGTCGACCCACACCTGATATCTATGGTCGGCCTGGGAAATTTGGGCTACCGATATCCATGCTGAAAATTCCATACTTGTACCAAATATGCAGTGTGGAATCAAGCTGTAAATCAAAATAAAATGAAATAAATACTTCCCAGTAAGTGGAGCGGTCAACGTGCTCTACCACTTCACTCCTTATTTTTAATCTAGGAGCTGGTGTTGTCCAGTCCTGTAACATCATCTTCCGTTTGGCGGGAGCGAATCACATGCCAAACATTTGTAGATTGCAGCTCAAGGTGTTCAGAATCATATATATCTTTGTTTCGAAATCAAATATCTATTTTCAGTTGTGTTCATAATACATTATTTCATGGCAGTAGTGCATTACAGGAAAAAAAAATTCCAGTAACTCGAGTAATTTCTATTTTAACTATTTTGGCTGTTACAGTTTTTTGTACAATATGAACAGTTAATGATTTATTTATATATGAAGTGAATAAATCCTAACAAACATTTGCTACATGTTCCAAATATTAGCCAAAGCTTACCGTACAACTTTTACCCCTAAAATTTAACCAATGCAACTATCAAGCTAAAATAAAGATGAAAAAGGATCGCCATTAATTTACATGGAAACGAATTCACGTGAACACACGACCACATAAAGTGCAGACAGTTTCCTGACACGTTAGCTAGAACATTAACGATACGAGTGTTTAAATAACTCAGTGAATGTGTACATACACAGATACAAAATGATTTCCATTAAACTCACTAATAAGCCTTCCAGCCTTATCCTTGTTTTCTCGTGTTTCTCTTGGATGTTTATACAAGTACATTAATGCTTTTCCAATCCCAGACTCTTGAAGAACCTCTGGTGACAATGACTGAAATTCACTAAGACTGGTCAACATGGAATCACGAATGATGAGATTTGGTAGGGTATGACCAGGAAGTGGAGACAGCCATTCTGTTATGGCAGAAAGCATTCCATTTTCAATAAGGGCAGATTTCAGGTCTGCTCGTCTGAGAAGAGCTGAAACATCTTTAAACATGCTCAGTTTCTTAGTTGCAGGCTGACCAGCTGAAAGTAACTGTCTGTCTTCATCAGCAGCATTTTTCATCCGTGAAATCATTTCCACAATCAAATCATCACTATCATTTAGAAATTCGATATCTCTATTGCGTTTTCGTCTTCGTCGGAGTTCTTCTTTCTTTTTTGCCATTATACGATCAAAATCAGATACAAACTCGTCATCCTCTCCAGATTCTTCATCATCGTCATTTTCTGCAGAAGTAGGTTTGTGACTCTTATGTGAAACCTGCTCAGATGTTTGGATTTCAACCTCTTCTTCGATACCTTTGTCCAGTTCATTTTCAGCGAAACCCTCAAACTCTTCTTCTGCATCACTTTCACCAAAGATATCAGCTATAATGCCATCTACTTGAGATTCTGGTTGTTCATCTCTTTCAAATCCTTCAAAGTCTTCATTGAATTTACCCTGGTCTTGTTCTTCATCATTATCTTCAAAAATACCGTGAAACTCTTTGTAATGTTCAGGTTCGGCGGGAGAACCAGATTTTGTTTGTGGTACATTTTCGACGAGATCATCTCTACTTTTATCAGACTCATGCTGCTGCACATCTGGCTATATTCGTCTATATCTGACTCGGAGCTACTGCTATTGTTGTCCTCTGATTCCTCCAGTTCTGCGATTCTCTCAGGAATATTAGACTCTACCTTTTTAGTTGGAACTACGTCAGACGCATGCTCACTTGCAGTGTAGCTTAGTGCTGGACTAGATTCAGGAGTACGGCTTAAAGCTTGACTCGGAGCATAACATGGAGTAGTGACATCCACAACAGGTTCGACATGATACTCCCTATCATTGTCTGTACTCTTCTGAGACTCATTCTGTTCAGACTTAACGACAGGACGCTCGTCAGGAGAACCCACTGGCGAGTGTGGGAAATAGTGGGAATAGGAAGCACGATCCTCCGGTTCATCATTAAGGTCATCAGAGCTCGAATCCTATAAGGGCATGGTTTAGAAAATGCATAACATACTTCATTATGTTCAGAAGGAGCATATCTTGGCCGATAAGTTACCTTATCATCCACCAGTCGACTATGCACAGGATCATAACCATCATATTCATCAGCAGATTCCTCCTCAAAACTTGAATCTCTAAAAATAAAACAAGCGCTCAGAATAACTAAGTAACGATAAATAAAACAATTTGAATAATGCAATAAGAACATCTTTAGCAGGATAAGATAAACTCACTTTGTTATAAGATTTTCGACAGCTGCATACAACCTGAATAAATTTAGCTGAATGATCTGTTCATTTCATAAGAGTAGAATAATATGTCGGTAATGGCGACTATGTGCAAAGTATATGAGAAGTTAAAATAGTGAGTCATAGCCAAAATAGAGACATTATACATACAACACGGAAGAATGCTCTGGAATTCAAAGGTAATTCACGCATAAATGGGGACAACTACATAGTTACGGGCAACGGCATTCAAGTTATTCTTATTGCAATATTCAACTTTATCAAGGGAACTATTTGTATGAAATTAAACAGAAGAGGGAACGAACTTTAAATCTCACTTGAAAAGTGGACATTTGAATGCAACGTGTTGATTGTTAATAAATATACACCACTTAAGTATGAACAAGATATTAAATTTGACATGCAGTTGATCTTTGTTGTAGAGGAAAATCGCACGCCTACATTTTTAGGCAATCTTGCCTAGTTAAAAAGCCATTCCTAAGTCCAGAAAAGAGGGCATAGGATCAGCACCTTCTTCCATAGACAACAAATAAATATACCTGGGAAACTCCCCGATTCGACGACGGATGACATCTGTAAGTGAATGTTGTGAACTTTTGTTATAGTACGTATCTAATCATATTCATTTCTCTACCGCTATTGACACTTTTTTTCCTTTATATGTTTAAGCCATTCCGGCTTCATCGTAAAATGAATAAAGCCTAAATTCTTGGTTCATTCGTCTTTTCAAGATTCACGCATCACTCATCGTTCTAAGACTCAGTCACCTTCGTAACAGTGAAAACCCTAGAGATACGTCTCCTTTCGATGGAAGTAAAAGTAAGCGTGAGAACATGGTATTCCTGCACGATGTTTGAGGCTGGGAAGGCTGCTCACATTTCAAAAGAAACGAATCTTATGGGAGCAGATGAAATGGGAATGGACTCTCCGAATTTTTAACTGTGAAGTTAATAATCTACTCCAGTTACAAACATGCACACTGATGGTGTGGCTATAATGATGAAACTCTGAAAGAGATGTAGAAGGAAGCCAGTATAATAGACATCTCAAGTAAGGCAAGGAATAGCTCTCTATGAGAGAGGAAAGGATGATGTGGCAAATGAACAATCAAGGGAGAAGCCTAGTACAACCTACATAGCACTGAAGAAAATTGCTAAGGTTTCACACATACACACACGTTTCCGTGGTTAAAAATGCACGGTTTATGAGATTCTAGTCTTTTCCATTCAGAGATAATGCTTCACTGTACATTGTCAAGATTACCCAGCTTCTTGATAGTGTATTCTCTAAGACTTCAGCTAAATTACGTCTTTCTATTGTCTTATTCAAATTCACAATAGGAACTAAACTTAAATTTCTGAAGAGGAGACTCCCTCCTTGCATTATCAATCTTCCATAAGACTTTCTACATTACAGAAGCAAGCCGTATTACTTGAAGCTAAATCAGGTGTTCCTCAAGAGCAGTTCTCGGGACTGGAAATCCAGGCATAGTTTGAAAATCTACAGGATCAATCGAAGTCTCTTGTTCCCGATCCTGATGATCACCATGGTCAGGTGAAAGCTAAGTTATAAGATATTATTCACCATTTCTGCAATGCTCGTACAATGTAGAAAGGTATCCTAACATATGAGCACTTCAAGCCTCCATAAGAACTAAAGCATTATATTGATACCGTTATTATATCACCAGATAAAGGTCCTGGTATAGTCGTAATGGACAAGACTTAATATAAAAGTATAGTATTATGCATCCTTGAAAATTCAAGCAGATTTACCAGTCCTCTCCAGAATATGTTAAGGTTTTATTAAGTTAGGTGATAAACAATCTAGTGACACGCTTACGTATGAATGCGATTTGTGAAGAGAAATTCAACACACTACAAGTCACAGAACCTCAGTTACCAAACATTCATGATCTGCCGAAAGCAAACAAACCTAACACCCTTCATAGTCCCCCAATGCCGGTATGCAGATTTCTAACCCACATGCTTGAGAAGTGGGAATATTTAGATCTATTGGAAGTTTCGGTAAGTTTGTTTTGAAAGATACCTTTGATTTACAAGTCTTCACAACATTAATATAAAAGACAAGACCATGCTTCTCCTTTATGTTGATTCTTTACTTAGAAATGTACCACTGTTACATATAATAGACATTTTACTTGATTATACTTCTCATTGTCAGCTTTCATACTTTATTTGGGAGAGCTACTGCTTTTACCTACTGATGATGTTAAATTTACATTTGAGGGTGAGGATTTCTGCCAGATCAGTGCGGTTGCTATGGTGGTCCTTCAGCTCCACTGTTAGGTGATGTATACATGTCGAGAACCTAGCTGGGGACTTAAGTGTAAGTTTATTTTTAGAAGAGCTACGCGGATGACATAATAGTCATTTATGACAAACTGACACATCACAGTTCTTAACCGGATACAGTACAAAATAGAATAGCGTTAATACACGGAAGAAAATGGCGGCTGCTGGTCGCCATTTTTAGATGCACCTATAATTCACCGACAAAATGGGTCAATAAGACGATCTATCTTAAGGAAGCCTACTTCAAAAAAAATAGCATATAAATTGTCACAGATTTTGATCATTCCAGTATAAAAAGGAGTTAGTTAAATGCTTGTCTACGTGTATTCAACATAAATGTACAGAGGATACTATTGAAGAAATACGAAACCATTAAAATATCATTACATGACAACTAATCTCTGAAATTCCTCAAACACTATAGAAGTGTCAAACAAAATGCCCGACCAATCCAATTAGTCACCAAAAAGGATGTTTATATTATCCTTACTATTCAGTGGTGATCACCGAAGTGTGATCACTAAACAAACACTCAAGGCGGCACTTAATAACTTACTATGTAGCTAAACTCATTTTGATACAGAAAACGAGATTTATATTCTCCTGAAAACCCTAACAGCATCCGAGCTACAGTGTCACATCTCACTGTGTTTACCACTCAACATGTATGTGTGGTCTCACGTACATAAGGAGGAACCATCGATCTCTGCATTTCATGGCTACAGAACACTCCAAAGTGCCTGCAAGAACAAATAAAATCACCTGATACAATTAACCTTGAACATGAATGTCCAACATCACCTGTCGCAAAGCACAGCATAGGGTCACAAAGTCGATTTTAATAGTGTCTTTAAACCTTTATCATAAAACAGGTTTGGGTCACACAACTAAAGTCGTCAAGACTTTAGCCAGAAAAAGGCTTATACCTGTTTTATGTGTATTTGGGGATGATAATATGGTATGCAACTTTCACGGTTTGCTTCACTTATGTGAGCAAGTAAGAAACTGCAGCATTAGATAGTTCCTCTTGCTTCCTATTTGAGTGTAACATCCACCAACCTTCGGAATCTAGCGAGAGGTTCCAATAACTCTGCAGTCAAAATATGCAAACGTCTAAGGGAAAGATGCTTAGTGGAAATTTAGTCTTAAAAAAATGAGATTCTTTATGCATCTGGAAGTGTTATTAAGCAAACTGCCACTTTTCGGCCTTCAAATAAGGACAATTTACTCTAGACAACTGCAATATGGTGGTCAATATGCCTGGAGTTGTCTGCAAAATACTAGGCGAAACTCAGCTTAGATTTTGTGTTTACAGGAAACCCATGGCTTTTTTTCAGTTACCATTGGATTCTAGGAATATTGGGATCTTTCAGGAAGACATTTTTGAGGTTGAAACACGTATTCATAAGTTCAGGGAAATAAAAACACAGTATATAAGCTTAAGTCTTTTGAATTACTCCGTTATTATTCCCATATTACATACTTTCAAGATATAATTTTATACCTTCTAATGAGAGTTTACATACGGCCACAGTAAAGAAATACCACGAATTCAATCGACTGACGAGCTTTATTTTGTTTACGGTTTCATTCATTCTGATACGCACACGCATTTGCATAAATACATGTTGAATACTCTTTCTCATATGTCCCTGCTTTCGGATATAATATTGGCGCATTCTTTGCAGATGACTAAACAGCTTGTTATCAGGGTCTCAGCTTTGGATAATGCTATGACCATTTCAGGGGTGTGAGTGTATGGTAAATCTGTAATCGCATTCATCCACAGGGGTGAAGGAACATACAGAGGCTGCAAGAAGCTCGATGACCTGCGAGTTTGTAGTGTTGCGGCGCTTCAGTAATTTAACATTTTGCAGTAACGTTCGTGTTTAGATGAAGATGTAAGAGCTGGAACAGCAGCCAAATGACTGCATTGTAGTCTTTATTTGAGCACACTGAACCTGCGGGTCAAAGCAGGGTGAACCAGTAAGATGTAATTCCTGGATAATACTCACATTGTTAAGAGCCAGACAAGAAAAGCTCCCACCAACGTCGCACCATTAAACTCCCCATTCCAGTTCGATACTTCAAGTTTTCGACAACCAATAGAGGCTAACACAAATGAGAGGTATATTAAAGTTCATTAACAACACCACATTCCAACGTGTCTGCGTTTGTTTCCTTGTCAACGACTTCCAACGCGTCATCAATTAACACGTAAGTTACGTCCCATTGCAACTATTATTTGTAGGTGTGCAAGGAATAAGAACATAAATGGTTGCAGGTCTGGGTGCTCAGCACGCTTTCAGGCTGTTCTGTCACGCCTCGGGTTTTTCGAACCACGCTTGCTGGATTTGGGGTCACACAATCCGATTGATGCTAAGCCGGCGCGAGTCAGAGTCATGAGAATGAGTTCGCTAAAGATTTTGAAATCTTTAGGCAGATGGAGGTTGGATAGCGACGCAATTATGTCTTCCTTCGAAAAAAAATTTAGCATCTGAGTAATATCATCACGTTGTACCCGCCGATCTTGAGACTTTGGTTGACTCAAGTGTCCAAAGCTCAGTCATTTGCACCATTAATGTATTGCTAGGACCCACGTACAGCACTCAATGTTTATGGGCGGCTACCAAGGATACAAGGCTTTCAAGAATACGACGTGAAACCCCTGTTTTCTAGTTTCATGAGTCTATGAGCCTACAGAAATATGTTCTCTGTTACTGCAAGCTGTGGACATGCTACGTACATCATACGCGTGGCTACAGACTTAGGGTTCAGTGCAAACACTTTAGGGAGACTTCAAGTGCAGTGGAGACAGGCACTTCGAGGCAGTCTGCAGGCAAGTGCCATGCAATGTGTAAAGTGCCGTAGGTACTTTACCCCGAAATGTCTGTAACGGATTCGAATAAATTGCTAGCTGTTATATTAAACAAAGAAGAATAAATGCGTGATGGATTACATCTGTTTGGTTCATGTTATTATTGGCTCTTCCATATACTAAAGTACGCACACATTAAATGCCTACGCATGTTTTTGTCTTTTTAAGAGAAGTATTCAAGAACTTGAATGAGTATTACGTACGCCCCTCTAATTTATCCTACATCTTTATAACTCGCAGCAACTACTAAACACTTATGCCAAAGTGGCTTATGTGGCAGTTATCACAAGAAACACTATCAGGAATAAAACACATTTAAGCCTAAACCTACCCCATTAAAAAACCAAGTTAGGAATTGAACACGCGTGCCCGCGGTTCAAAGCTAGAATGACCTTGGCCGACAGTGAAATGACCTTGAGTTGCCCATATTTTCTTCCCATGATATTCGAAACCACGAGCTAGCCTCCTTCAGTAAGATTCCAGCTTTTTCAGTGGTTCTCTAAATTATGCTAGCCTCAACCAATCCTAAGGAATAAGCGCTTTGCCGGATTATGCATCACCCCCCGCTATATGTATATTTGATTCTTTTTACAGGGACTGATCCCTTACAAACGTGCTGTCCTACATATCAGATAAGTGACTTGTTTTCATGGTCTGGTGTAAATTATAGTTGTACAACAGTGAAATCAGAAAGATGGGCAGGAGAATGCCAACTGTGTTATCACAAAAGTGCTCAGACTGTAAAGAACCCTAATTTAAGAGATATAAGTTTGAGACTGTTCAGAGAATACCGATGGAGGGTTTTCCGTTGGCCCTTGTTCAGTAGGCCAAGTCCCACTATGGTTTTAGTTGATATATGGGTCTCATAACTAATGGCTATGAGGTCCCATTTGGTCAGTCCACACGGAATCGGTGTAAGAGTATGTGTTAGTATTAATGATCGAAATTTCGTGTGTATGCTTAGAGTGCAGCATTTCGACTTCCTTTATCTTTGAAATCCTGCAGCCATCTGTTTGTCTGTCCAAATGAAATGTCACTGTGTCAGTAGAAATCATCCAAGATGTTCAATGACCTTTTCAGGATGTGCCGCAACCTTTTCAGCATTGCCGGGTGGACGACTGTAATATGATGAAATTCTCTGGCCCCATCCTCAGCTTTGTTAGAAAACCACTTCTACATGTTATGGAGCGTCCCATCTACCCTCCATCAATTAATGTTCTGAAAATGTACCCGCTTCCTAAAGCGTCGGCAACTGGGGTGTGCTTCTTTTCACCTAATTTCGTGTAATCATTATACAGTTGAGTGATTAATCTGTCAAGTGTTGGTTTGCAGTGGTTTGACTTATTGCAGGTTTGATTATGAGCTGACATCAGTCAGAGAACCAGTGGAAAACCTGTGACTACTGGATAGCTGCTTCATTTTAGTCTGGGGCTCTTCGACAGCACGCGCTCACTGGGATTTCGAAACCACAAGCTAGCTTCCTATCGGAAGATTCCAGGTTTTTCAGTGGTTCTCTAAATTATGCCAGCCGTAACCAATCCTAAAGAATAAGCACTTTCCAGATTATGTTTCACCCCCACTTATTTAGGTGCTCTAATAATATGACCGCACTCACATGCTCGCTGGCAGTCTTAAATCATCGGGACACACCAACAGTAATCTGCTATTAAACCACCCAAGACAGTTTGCGTCAAACTACAGAGTGTTTCTGGATGCATACTTAAACTGCCGAACCAGCTTGGTCTTGCTTATGCATCATGTGCATTGACAGTGTGCGGAGGAAAAGAATTTTGATGAATTTTTGTTATGGCCGGCTCACGGCAGAAGCTATCTTTCAGTCCCCCCTGAAGTACCAGTTAATCCACCTCTGAAATTTAGAAATGAGGTGCCTGCGAACACATAAACGTCCTTACAACTGAAAGTGCCCGTGAAGGATGGAGACTGAAGTCCTAATGAATGAATCATGTACGACATGGCGAGTTACTGGAGTGTAGAATAATAATTAACTCGTCTACTGTATAATCGTCCTTTTGTGCTAAGTTTTCTTTGCATATTGTTGGGTTTAGACTCAGCTCCAACAGTCCATGATATAAAGTAGTTTTGTTCTATGTGGATGATCGCATAGTGCCTTTCAATGACCAAGATTGGCTCTTGGTTTTGAATCAAGTAATAGCTACGCGTTATCCAAAGCTGGTTATCACATACTTAAATTTATCTTTAATAGCATCGACGCTTCAAAACATGCTGTTGACAAAGGGTGTCTGCTGTAAGTGAATTGTCAGTTAGTGAACTGCCAGACTAGCCCACGTCATACCTTCAGTAAACTGTTGAACGTTATTCTCGGTGTGAATTCTTGGAAACTTATCCCTGTCTGACCAGACCCGCTATGTGCTTAAGGGCCAGCATATAAGACTGTCAAAAGTAACACAGTACTTTCTGTGTTTATTGCAACCACGAATCTTGTGAAGGGGATCATTCTGGAAATAGGTGTGGGCCGAACTCTCCCACCATTAGACAATTTCAAAACCAAGGTACTCCCTATAACATATAGTCATCAAGTTATTGTAGTTGCCATTACCACAGTACCAATAATGTGGAGAACCCAATTCAAATGGTACGCTTGAACTTGATTCACACCATCACACTGCAGTAACACCATCTCGTTTCATAGACTGAATCAGTTAAGCGGCGCGAGTGATCATCGTAGCGCCAGATGAAAGAGGTTTCCTATTTGGACATTGGTTCCTTATAAAAACATAATTTTGATAGGTGGGCGCAAACTTGATCTCTTACTAAAGGTTTGTTATCACAAGAAAACAAGGGAGGATCCATTTCTAATAGCCATGATACCCTAACTCTTGATAAAATGTGTAATCAACCATACAGGTAGACTGTCCACCTAGACCTTGAATTTGTCTGTTGTGGTGGAAAGGCTTCAATTGTCCAGCTACGAAGTTAATTGGGACTGCTTTATGTCATGGTATACGAAGAAATGATTGAGGAACGGACATATTCTGAGTCTTAAGTTTAATTCCGCACTCTGATGCAATGCAAGTGGATTGTATGAGACTGATATCTCATACACACATCTGACCTTATCCAACGTAGTGGCAGTGTGAATTCGGAGCCTCTGCAACATAATGTGCAGTGACTTTTCAGGTGAACGGAGTGATTGGGAATCCAGAAGGATTTGAAGAGGGAAAAGTAGGAACCATAACTTCTTATAATTTGTAAGGCTTTCATCAACTGTTGGATGATGAATGCCTTTCCGTATGCTTGACTAAGTTTTGCGCTTCACTTTTGCCCTGCCGTGCTTTCGAAAATGAAAATAAGAAAACACAATTATTCCTCCCTTAATATTACGGGCCAACAGTAGGTAATTCAGTCGATTATTTTGATAGGAAAGTCAGTTTCTAAATTGGTGAACCCTTTTCGTTCACATTTTCCCTCATCTTTAGAAATGGCTATTTCTATTCTTGGTTGTTTTTCGATCTGTCTTCACTCATCCATGCCTTTGGTATTATTTTTGTTCATCACTACGTCTCACTTGCCAGGCATGGAAACTGATATCAAAAATATTTCGCTAGAGGTGGTTTCTTTAATTACTGCTTATAGCTTTCTCAACTAGAGCACAACTTTGGCGGTATAGCGTTAATTCTGAAACCATTTGGTATAGCAACATTTGCTCTCACTTACCTTATGAACTTAAAAAGAAAATTCAAGGGCTCATACTTCACCCCTTCCCAAACGATCAACTATGTACAATGCTTAAGCCCGTGGTTATAAAATGCCTGTCTATGTCAGAAAACGCGTGTACACGGTGACCACTTTAAGTAGCGAACATGGAAGATAGACCCCCACCACAGTTCTTGAGCCGACTGCAGCATCTTGTAAGGGACAATACGTTGGGAGAGGCTCTAATGCGGCAGGGTTGGATGCAAGTTTCCCTGGATTATATGCAACAAGCATTGGATACACAAGATTCTGACTACCCTATTGAACGATGAGAACACATCACCGACTGGATGCTATGGAGGAGTAGGCTAAAAGAAGAGCAAATTTATCGTATGGGTATGAACAAAGACCTAATAATCTCAGAAATTGAGGCCAGCGTTAGACAAATATTGGAATAACTGGCGCAAAAAGGCTAACACGGAGTAGACAACGTGGATAGCCAAATGGAGCACAGTTCCTTGAAACTAATCCTCAGTTCACCAGTACAAACCAAAAGGTTCCGGAAGATACTGACGGAATTGGCAATTACGACTATCCCTCAAACTTCTAAGGCTGACCGAAAAAGTGTCGAGAATATGGGGTTTATGGCCCCCATTGTTTCCTAGGCCAAGAAGATTGGCTCCGAACAAATTAAAAATCAAGAAAGCTGAATATAACTACATGCTTCGTTTAGGGATTATTCAGCCCTCAAATACTTGATAGCCTTCACTTTTGCGCGTGGTGCCCAAGAAAAATACGAACGATTGTCCCTTGCTGTAATTGCCGAGTTATGAATAAACAAACAATACCAGATAGTAAACATGGACCCCGCATTGAGTAATTTACTAAAGGTCTTTGTGGAGCCACCAGAGGAAAGTGGCCGCCGTTATCAAGTGCTTCAGAAATGGTAAAGTAGATGGCCACTACTAACTGTTGTCCACCAAGACTATTGCTCAAAAAGTTGGAGAAACCTAGTTTAGAGTTTGAACATGGTCAATATTTTAGGAATCACTTCTGTTCCCGACCTAAAGTACTTCAGTCAGACTTGTGTTTGAGTGTGTTATCTCTGACTGGTCTCAGCATAATTCTGCATGTTATGGGTGTGATACTTATTATTATCTCAGAACCAGTCAAAAATGATGTTCTGTATTCTGTTTCGGAGATGGTTTTTGGAACCATCCCGAGGTTACCTGAAGAGTTTACCAGTCCTAGTGCTGACACGAGGGTTTTGACCGTCCTGCATATGTTGAAAGGCTCCGACTACAAGTGAACAATCTAGGTTCAATCTCTTAAGAATAGTAATGGATGGCACATGTACTCAAGGAATTGGATTCCTGCCCCAATTCATGAGTGAGATGTGATAATACACGATAACCACCTCCAAGGTTTTGGAAATTCTCTGTAAGGCACCTGAAATGGTTTTTGATTCGCTGGGGTAGTATCATAGGCAGTGTCAGCATCGACAGTCTACAACCGGCCCATCCAGACTGCGATCCCCTTAGGTAGAGATGGAAAGGCTTCTTGAAGCGTTAGTTGGCAGCACAAAGGCGAACTCGACATCTGGCAAGACCGGCAAGGGGGCTAAATTGGTTAAACACTTAACTGGCGAAAAAATTTCTAGA